CAAAGATACAGAATTTCCGGAGGATGGGGCCCAGAAATCAGGATTTTTAAAAGATTCCCAGGTGATTCTAATGTGCAGCCAAGGTTGAGAACCACTGATCTTACTGATTGATTTTAGAGAAAGAGAGAGGAAGAGAGACATTTGTTGCTCCACTTATTTTTGCATTCATTGATTCTTGTATGTGCCCTGACCGAGGATGGAACCCATGACCTTGGTGTATCAGGAGGATGCTACAACCAACCGAGCTGCCTGGCCAGGGCTGTAATACTTTTTTAATCAGCAAAAACAATGAAGCTAGTTTCTTTTTTTTTTAATTTTACACAGCAGTATCTTTACTTTTCACATTTGATGCTTATGAACTTGTTACTTTTGGATCTTTCAGAATGCCCAGCATAACAGCTGTACCTGACAGATTCATATTAGATATTACAGTTGCCCCTCGAACAGCACAGGGGATTAGGGGATCCCATCAATGCCCCTGCTGTGGAAAATCCATGTATAATTTTTAGTTCCCCCAAAACTTAATTACAGTCATCCCTTGTTATACGTGAGAGATTGGTTCCAGGACAATTACCCTACTCCCATATTAAAATCTGAGGATGCTCAAGTCCCTTTATAAAATGATGCAGAACAACGCATAGAGCCGACTCTGAATCTGCTCATCCCAGCGGAGTGTTGAAAATACTGTTTTCGATCCATAGTTAGTTGAATCCACAAATGCGAAACCTGCAGATACAGAGAGGGCTGATTATATTTATTGAAAAAAAATTCTGTGTATAAGTGGATGCACACAGTTCAAACCAGTGTTATTCAAGGGTCAACTGTATATTAGTTGTCTATTACTGATATAACAAATGAACATACATCTAATGGCTTAAAACAATATTTTTATTTTCACAGTACCAGAGGTCAGAAGCACAAAATCAGTTCCACTTGCTAAAGTCAGGAGGTTAGCAGGACTGGTTTCTTTCAGAGGCTCTGAGGAGGGAACTTTCCGTGCCTCTTCCAGCGTCTAGGGCTGCGTCCCCACATCCCCTGCCTAGTGGCCCTTCCCATCCTCATTGCCCGGCCTACAGCACCTTGTAAAGTGTTCTCTGCTTCCGTGGTCACATCACCTCTCCTCCATAGTCAGATCTCCCTCTGCCTTCCTCTTATAAAAACCTGGTGATTATATTTGGAGTCCACCCCAGTGGTTCTCAACCTTCTGGCCCTTTAAATACAGTTCCTCATGTTGTGACCCAACCATAAAATTATTTTCGTTGCTACTTCATAACTGTAATGTTGCTACTGTTATGAATCATAATGTAAATATCTGATATGCAGGATGGTCTTAGGCGACCCTTGTGAAAGGGTCGTTCGACCGCCAAAGGGGTCTCGACCCACAGGTTGAGAACCGCTGACCTAGACAATCCAGGATAATCTTGCCATCCCAGGGTCTAATTTGATCATATCCGCAAAGGCCCTTCTGCCGTTTAAGGTAGCATCTGCTGCCTAACCGGTTTGGCTCAGTGAATAGAGCATCGGCCTGCGGACTGAAGGGTCTCGGGTTTGATTCCAGTCAAGGGCATGTACCTTGGTTGCGGGCACGTCCCCAGTGGGGAGTGTGCAGGAGGCAGCTGATAGATGTTTCTCTCTCATCGATGTTTCTGGCTATCTATTCCTCTCCCTTCCTTTCTGTAAAAAATCAATAAAAAATATATTTTTAAGGTAGCATCTGCAGGGCGCTGGGTACTCTTCAGCCTACCACAATACTAGTTAGCTCCACATCCACGTATCAAGTCTTGCTCCATTGTTTTCGTTTTCCAAGAAACCATTTTCTAAGAATCTTGACTCTCACAAAACGATTCCCTTCCCCCTTTTCCCAGGCTGATGTGGATGTGGCTCACTCTGGGGAGAACTGCAGACCCCAGCTTGAGGCTGCCCTGCTCGAGGACACTGTGGGTGGCCCCGAAGGCCTGGAAAAACAGGTCCAGCTGGAAAGCTTACCCGGAACCATTCCAGAGAGTTCCCCATCTCCTGTGGGAAGGAACAGAAGAATAAATTTAGGTAAAAGCCCCCATTCGTGTTAATCTCCATAAAATACCGTTTCTCTAAATGTATTTCTTAATATGTGTTTGGTGGCCCCTTTATCACAGTTTTGTGGGCCAGGGAGTGCTCTAAATGTCAAGGTCCCCCTCTCTAAGACATTAGAATTTAGCCTTAAATCTTCATTTTGTGAGTAAATAATGCTAACTATGAGTCTTCTGGTCAGGGAGTAATTACACCATCTTTTTCCCCCCTTAACTAAGAGGCTTATTGGTGGTTGGTAATAGGCCTTAGGAATAGAAGTTCCACAGGCTTTGGTTAAATTCTTTTAAACGCCACCGTGTTAACACTTTTTCAAGGGAAAGTTCTACATTTGAAAAAATAAATAAAACCTGCATCAACTGTTTCCCCTGTCTCTCCCCATCCAAAGTATCAGCAAATCTACAATGAAAGAATCTTTCAAAATATAAAGAAGTAATTATGACCTAGTGTGCCCTTTGAAACTGTTCGTTTATAAATATTTTTCTTATGGCGTGTTTTCACTTTACTTCAGTTACCCCCTGATGTTGAGATGAGAGCTCTTATTTATATTTTATCAGCCTTTGAAACAAATTGAACTTAACAGGCCTCAAGGAAAAGTACTCTCTTTTATTTGGGGCGAAGGCTTTCATTTCATTCTTCATTGCTACAGATTCTTCCCTAGGTACAGTTAGAATTAGAAAATAGGTAGGTTATACATGAGATTCTTTTTCTTGGATGTTCGTGCACACGCAGGTTACCACAAATTTCACATTTGCCCTCAACTTGTGTTTCTGATTGTGAAGATGTGACCTCTAAGAAGGAGGTCAAAGACAGGGGATGCAGCACAGGGGCAGCCCTTCCCCCCTCTCACCCCTTTCCCCCCTCTCACCCCTCCCCCACCGCCCCCCCACCCCCCCGCCCTGTGCGTTGCACCAGAACATATTTTTTTCCTCTCTGAAAATTCTGTTGATGGGAATCCCTCCTACAGACTAGAGATTGGCAGGTGGACAGGAACCTGGGTATGGCCTCGAATAGTTAGCCTGCCAGCCCTACACTGTTGAAAGCAGGATGGGGAGGACCACGGGTGAGCAGGACAGTGCCACAAGGGACCAACGTGGGGAGGGTGTGAACTACCAAAGCAGTTGTTTCCAAACCGTAGCATAAATTAGGTCTCAAGAAAGCTCTTACCACAGAATGAGTAGGAACTAGTGCCCTGAGCTTTATATTCTTTCTCTACCCAATCCTCCCTCCCCCCCCACACACACCCCTCTGCTCTCTGCATCCCTGCTCTTCATATCTACAGGGTGTATTTGTTAAAAATTTCTTTAAAAATTTTTTTTTAAATCCTCACCCAAGGATTTTTTTTCTATTGATTTTTAGAGAGTGGAAGGGAAGGAGGGAGAGAGAGAGAGAGAGAGAGAGAGATCGATTGGTTGCCTCCTACATGAGCTCCAACTGGGGGGATCAAACCTGCAACTGAGGTAGTGCCCTTGACCAGGAACCATCCAGCCTTTGGTGCGTGGTCAGATGCTCTAACCACTAAGCAACCTGTCGGGGTAAAAATTCCAAGTTTCACACTAACATTTCCCAAGTATTTCCCATGGGGGAAAAAAAGAAAAAAATGTTATTTTGAATAATTTCAGATTGAGGAAAAGTTGCAGAAAACAAAGAATGCCTATATTCTTTCATCCAGATTCCACAAATGTCAACATTGTACCACATTTGCGTTTTCATGGTCCTCTCCCGCCTCCCTTCCTCCTTCCCTCTCTCCCCATCTCATATACAAGTATATTTTTTCTGAGGGTAAGTTACAGACATAAAGATAATTTACTCCTAAATACACCAACAAGTATTTCCTAAAAACAAGGACATTCTTTGCAAAATCCCAGTACAAGAATCTGAGTCAGGAAACTGCCATTGACACAGCACTGCTATCTCATCTGCAGACCATATTCAGATTTGTCAATTGTCTTACAAACCTCCTTTATAAGTGTCTGGTTCCAGAGCTAATTCAGAATTACATGTTTAATTTAGTTGTCATGTGGTTTTAGTCTCCTTTAATCTGGAACAATCCCTCGGCTTTTCTTTGTCCTTTATAACCCTGATATATTTGGAGATAGAGACCATTTATTTTGTAGAATGGCCTCAGTTTGGGTTTGTCTTATATATTTCCTCATGATTAGGTCCGAGTTATGCACTTTTAGCAAGAATATCAAAAATTATATTGTATCCTGCTTCGTACATCAATCAGGAGGTATGCGATATCTATATTTGACTTTTATTGGGGGTTGTGTTTTGGGGGGCCTTGCAAAATTTTTTAATGTAGTAAAATTCATCAGTCTTTTCTTTTATTGAATCTGGTTTTTGAGTCAGTTAGAAAGCCATTCCCTACAACAAGGTCAAAAACAAACTCACCCGTATTTTCTTGTATGACTTCACTTTTTATACTTATGCTTATGAAGAATTTCTAGTGGCCAGAGAAAATGCTAATGTAAATGTGCCACTGAATAGGAAACACAATGTGTGATGGCACATTACTAAAAGTAAAATTTTACATATTAACAATGGTGATCTCTGAATGGTCACAGAATGGACATTTTTATTATCTCTTTTTTATTCTTTTCTACATTTTCCAATTTTATGATGTATTATTTTTATAATCAGAAAAAAATACAATGTTATTTTTAAATATTTCCCCAAAATTCTTCAATATCCCAAGAAATAATGAAAATTGGTCAGAATGACTTGACATAGTCCAAGAATTTCTGTATAGGTTAATGACTCTAAATGTCAAGCCAAGTACTTCAGTGGATTCAGAAAAGAATTGGTTGAAATGATTAAGGTAATTTCATTGTGTTAGTGACCGGTGTCCACGATGACATTCTTTTTAGAAATATCCTGAAAGAGAAGTGAATCGTGACAAATGGGAGCCCGTGTACTTGGCATGCTTGGGAAGAGGACAGTGAGGTGGTGAAGAACATGACTGATGAAATCAAACAGACTTGAGTTTAAATCCTAGTTCATTTACTTACTACCCTTGTCACCTTGAGCAAGTTAATTAGCCTCTGTCATATCAGGTTTTTTCATAAAATAGAGTTAATAATATCTCTCCTATAGAGTTTATGTCTAATTTAGATGTTATAAAACATAGAAAGTACTTAATAGAGTCCCAGGTTATACATTTTCATGAAAGGACTCCACCCACTAGATGAATGGACTTGGTTACTAACCAGACTTCCTGATGGTTACAAAATAGAAGATAGCTCATTTCTGCAGACTCCCCTTGGCATCTTTGTTTTACAATGTGAAGTTGTAAAAATGGATGCTTGCTTGTTTATTTCTATAATTGAGTCCTTTGTAATGGGGGTTGTCTCCGTGCAGTTTATAAAAGTTCCCCTATAAACTGTTTCAGTGCCACTTTTAGAATTACTAATAAAAATTTAGCTGATACCACTTGACTCCAATTCTGATAAAGTTCAAAGACTCTTCTCAAAAAGGCATATTTTTACTTATGGAGACTTAGCAGATGGTGTAATTGCAAACTCAGAGTTGCAGAACTAGAGGTCTCTTGGCGACATCCTGCTGTTTATCCTCTTGTATACAAAGCATAGAAACCAACTGCAGCTCAGAAGAGTCACCCAAAGCACATCTCATTCTTAGCTGTGGCTTAGCTTCGTAATTAGTGCAGTGAACCCATGGAGCTGTACCCAAGTGTACAAGTGTTGTTACAACAAAAAGCTAGTACATAGCAGCACATGAAAGACTTTTTGTTATGTTAATATGGGGTCTGCTCAGTAAACAGTATATTATGTTGATGTGTATCCTCTGTTAGAACAGTAAGAATTTGAACTTCAAAGGATTCAAAGATTTATAATACAAACAGATATTTAGCTAGGAGGGTTGAGTGTAAGATTTAATTAAGTAGCATGACTTGTATGGCATTCATTTAGCATTTGATTGATAATCTCTTCAAGCTTAAATTTTGCTTTTTTTTTCCCCTTGGAAGACTTAACAACCAATGGATTAATCCATAAACCGCAACCCCTAGAGAATCGAGAGCGACAAAAGTCATCAGACATCCTGGAGGAATTAATTGTTCAAGGAATAATACAAAGCCACAGCAGAGTATCTAGAAATGGAGAATCATACGATGTCACGGCAAGTAATTTTATAATTAACATTAGCTTATAGTTAAAAATAGCAATAGAATATGATTGATCCCAAGTTATTTCCAGCATATGCATCTTATAGTCACAGTACAGACAGCATTTATCTTAGCCAGTTTTTTTCTCCCATAAATTCCCTCACCTTTCTGCACGCTATCCTTCTCTATGGATTCAGAATTGCCCTAATCATTAATGATTAATGAATTCAATAGAACATATCTTGGGTTTTACTAAATTTGAGACACAATAAGCCCCATTGAATAACATGCCTCATTCTTTCAGCAATTTTTACTAAGCATTGCCTATGTACTAGGAACTGTGAATATAAAACTGAATTCTGATTTATCTAATAAGAAAATAAGCCTTAATACCAAAGCTAAACCAGATAAGCTTATATATTTATATACACAGTCTAAGGTCAAATATGAGAAAATGCAGTTATAGAAATGGTTTTCCTCTTATTTTTCTTTGTTGATTCATCTTGACTAATCTTCATTATTTTTCCTTTAGTGTGAGTAATATGTTTACTCTGATTTTAACTTATTGTGGCCAAAGTCTTGAGGTCTTAATTTTTTAATAAGTTCTGTGCAAATTTGTGAAGAGGATAGCAGGTTTTGTTGCTATTTTTGTTATTTTGTTTTGTTTTCTTATTTGTTTCTTTTTTAAGCCAATGCACTGAGGCAGCACCAATAGTCCTAACACATAGTCAAAAGAAAGAAGATAAAAGAAGAAATAACAAGAAAAAGAAGCCTGAGGGGGGAAAAATGGATGGGAAAGAAAAAAAGAGACAGAAATGGTGGCAATAGAGCCCAGAAATCATATCAATGACTTGTGTTGTAGGGAAAACAGTCAGCTGGGAATAAAAAGATACATTATTTAAATAGAGTTTGCACCTAGACCAAGTCACTAAGTGTTTGAATAAAGGCAATTTTCCCTTCCGTTTAGAAAATGCTGAGTATTCATGAATAAAATCTAAAGTGGCATTTTCTTTTGAAGAAGGAAAATAAGCCCTGTAGAAAGTATTTGGAGGTGGGGGGGGGGGGAATAAGGAGATTGCTAAACCTTGTAAATGATATTATCAGGCTGCCAATAACAAGAGGATGTGGGGAAAGGGAAAGGTAAAAATGCACCATAAAATGGAAAAGATAATGTCAACATAATGACAATTTACATTTGTATAGTGGCATGATACAAGGCATTTTGGAGTACCTTGTTTGAAAGTCCCAAATACAATGCATCTTTAATACAGAAAGAGAGAGGACAGATTTTTTCCTATCTGTAGACTCGAGGGTGGGGGTGAGAAAAAATGAAGGTATGTCAAAAGAAAAAGACAGGAGAGCAATCTGGAGGCGGATAGACTGTGGAAATGTTGAGTAGCTAAGTGATACCTTCTTAAGGGAAATGCTCTGGAACCTTGATGTTAATGCCAACAGGAATAGCATTAAAACATTTTCCAGTGATTCAAACGCCAGAGATGAATGAGTTCGGACTCAGACCTTGCAAAGGCACCAACAGGGTTAATTAACATGAGCTACATCATGAAAGAGATGTCTCTTAAAAAAAAAAAGAAAACTGTGGGCTTGACTTGCAATAACATCATTAAGTGAGCCAAAGATGAAGGCTGTTTTCATATTCTATAGCGATGGAATGGTTGTCAGGAGCATAGCTGGAGTGTTCTCAGGATTTAAATGTGATGGGATTGCAGAGGTAGGTAAGAATAATACAGCTCTTTTGTGTTTGTTTGTGTTGTGTGTTTTTTGGGGGGGGGGTTGTTTTTATTTTACTTTGGAATTGGGCCAAGATGCCCTGGCCTAAGATTTAAACAGGCCGGCAGTAATCCATAGTGGTGCCTTTTATTGCCTAGTGCAGTGATGGCGAACCTTTTGAGCTCGGCGTGTCAGCATTTTGAAAAAACCTAACTTAACTCTGGTGCCGTGTCACATATAGAAATTTTTTGATATTTGCAACCATAGTAAAACAAAGACATATTTTTGATATTTATTTTATATATTTAAATGCCATTTAACAAAGAAAACTCAACCAAAAAAATGAGTTCGCGTGTCACCTCTGACATGCGTGTCATAGGTTCGCCATCACTGGCCTGGTGCAGTGGTCCTTAACCTGGCTGCACACTCGAGCCACCAAGGAAGCTTTCAAAACCCCAGTGCCCAGGCTCCACCTGGGACCAGTGGCTGGGCTGGAAGCTCCCGGCGCTTCCCAGGGGCAGCCCAGGCTGAGACCCACTGCCCTGCAGTATCAAGGAACATGCACACAGCCTTCCAATTCATCCCAGAGCTGGCAAGGGTTGAAGCTTTTGAAATTGAAATCCCCCAGTCGCTGTGAAGAGAATTCTGAAGAATTCCTAACAATATAACATATTAGCAGTTATAACACTAAGCTTATACCCAGGAAGCATAAGGAAATGAAGGAGAGATATGATCGCTCATTGTCAAGGTAAAATCTCCAATTCATGTGTAGTTGAGAACAGAAGTGTGTCAGACACCAGGTGCCTTGCATATTTTAAAGAAAGGTATAAGGCCACTGTGAAAAGATGAGAATTAAACTTGAAGGACAAAAAGGGACCCATATTAAGAATGGAAATATTATTAGATAGCTAATACTTTTGACTATCTAATATTTAATAATATTTTTAGGGAGGGGGGAAACAAATGATAAAAATTGGCTAAAAAACAAACCAGAGTGAAGGGAAACAAAAAGAAGATGGTCAAAAGGGGATGTTAATGTCTTCCGTTACGTCAATGTGGTAAATCCAGTCAGACATGTAAACACTTTTTTTTTATTGCTTAAAAAAACATTTTAAATATGTTGGGGGAAAAAGAGTAATAGATATGAGAATACTTTAGAAACAAGACTTATGTACACCAACAGTATACTTAAATACAAGGGCATTTTAGACATAGCCAGGTTCTCTTTAATTCAGTTGTCATTTAGAGTAACATATAATAAAAGATGCTGAAAAGTGAGGGTCCTTCGTTCATCTTCTGAATCAGGGGACTCCCCTGTGAGCCAGTCTCTCCCCAGAAGTCCACCACAGATCCCCCTTTGCCCTTTTTTTTCCCCTTAATTTCATCTTTTCCTTGTTGGCAACTACTATAGCAATTCCATAATGCCCTCTGGATAACCTGCTTTCAGGCATATTATACTAATAGATGTTATGTTCACTCAGAGAAAATACAATGATATGTAAGAAACATAATATTTAGAAGCTTAATATCAGACTAAGTGAATCATTATATTTTAAAACATTCTAATGAGACATAACTGGCTGTATTATTTTCATTGGTGTTCTGCACACATGTAAATACTAGAGGCCCAATGCACGAAATTCATGCAAGAGTAGGCCTTCCTTTGTCCAGCTGCCGGCACCGGCTTCCCTCTGGCACCCAGGACCCAGGCTTCCCTTGCAGCCCTGGCTTCATCTGGAATGTCATCCGGAAGGATGTCCAGAAGGACATCTGGTCTAATTAGCATATTACACTTTTATTATTATAGATGTGTATGGATTGGGATAGATCTCTTTAGCGAGATGTGATTGGTTCTCATTTATCCACATAGGTATTAACTGCTTTAAGTGTCTTTCATCCCAAACTTATTTCTCCCTATCTCTTAGGGCATGCTGAGTCTCCCTACATAAGATTCTGAATTTTTTATTGACTCCTCCTGTCTCCGGTCAGAGTTTATTCCCTTCTCAGCAACTTCTGTACTTGGTAACCTTTAGTGCAGTTAAGGTGTTTGTCCACATTGCATCAGAGTCTCTAACATTATTTGCTGAACCTCAGGGGGAGTTTGTTGAGGAGGAAGTCACTGGGTAAAGACCAATAATGCCAGTTAACGCTCAGACTGACCTCCCCGAGGAGGTCTAGCAGTGACAGAGCAGGAATGATACGTCTCTTCCCAGAAGCTTTGGCCTATTTTATGCACAAGGCTCCAGTACGGGCCATAGCCAAGGTGGGTTCATCTGTAGGTCAATAGTTAATTAAGGAAGCTCTGAGGAATACACAGTGGAGGCAAGAGGTAATATTATACAGTTAGATTGGCTGGAAAAAAGACCCAAATCTTATCACAGCATCTTAGGGCATGGCAGTCCTCCAATGGTGTTCTTAAAATTATGGGACTAGTAACCTCTATAGGGATTTTTTTCAAAAAAAACACATTTTTATTGACTTTAAAGAGAGAGAGAGAGAGAGAGAGAGAGAGAGAGAGAGAGAGAGAGGGAGAGAGATGTCAATGTGAGAGAAACACATTGACTGGTTGTCTCCCGCACGAGGGGGACTGAGGTATGTGCCCTTGACTGAAATCTAACCCTCGACCCTCAGTCCACAGGCCAATGCTCTAACCACTAAGCAGCCAGCTAGGACCATCCCAGTTATTTGTAATGAACAACTCACCACATAAAACTACCTCAAGGCTGTTACTGAACCAAAACTTCGACAAATATTTCCCCTTTAACAGGTTTTCTGAGAATCACACATCTTAAAGCTAGAGGAAGCTTAGCCATCCCAGTCCCCTCGTTATTTTTACATTTGAGAAAACTGAGCACATAGAGCAAAGGTGCCTTGTCTCAGGTCACACAGTAAGTATGAGTGGTAGGCAGGCCAGAGGCTAAAGCCCAGCCCCCTGCCTGTTGGCCCTGCGATTCCAACTCTCATTCCTCCCTTTTGTGACAAATGCTATATCTTGGTTATGATTCCATGTGGTTATTGAAAAAAATCACTGCTTTCACCAAATGAAAAGTAATTTGCACTTTTTAAAAATATTTTTTTATTGATTTCTGAAAGGGAGAGAGATAGAAACATCAATGATGAGGGAGAATCACTGATCAGCTGCCTCCTGCACGCCCCACACTGGGGATTGAGCCCGCATATGCCCTGACCAGGAATCGAACTGTGACCTCCTGATTCATAGGTTAACACTCAACCACTGAGCAACCCTGGCCATGCAAAAATAATTTCCATTTACTGAGTGGCTAAGATCTACTTCTCCTCCCCGTTTAAAAAAAATAATCCCATGAAAAAGTATTATTAAACCTATTTTACAAATGAGGAAGGCAAGTGTTACGGAATTTAATGCCAAGCCACACCATGGCTGAGCCAGGATTCAAACCCAGGTCTTTCTGGTGCCTTTTCTGCTATGCTAAATTGTCTCTCTTTGATTTATTTTTTCAGTATTTACAGTATTGCAGTCTGACGAGACAGTCTTTTAGATAAATCAATGGATATCAGTATCTCTTTTGTCTTTAAACATCTTTAGAGAAATTATCTATTCAGTTCACTTTATAATGAAGCCTTGGAGTTCATTAAGACCTCCCCCAGTCGTAATAAATCCATGTATAGTGAGCTAAAAAGATGTCCATATAAAGTGAGGAAAGCAAATTGCAGAGCAATGTCTGTAGTATAATCCCATTTATGGTTGACTAAAAATTACAGATGTACTTTAAAGTGGTCATGATCAGAGACCACATGCCAAACAGAGTATTAGGAGATTATTTATGTATCATTTTAATTTTTTATAATTAATGTATGTTATTTTAACCCAATGTTTAAAAGAATAAATGTGAAAACTTTCTTTATAAACCTTTTATAACAGCGGTTCTCAACCTGTGGGTCGCGACCCCTTTGGGGGTGGAAAGACCCTTTCACAGGGGTAGCCTAAGACCATCGGAAAACACATATATAATTACATATTGTTTTGTGATTAATTACTATCTTTTAATTATGTTCAATTTGTAACAATGAAAATACATCCTGCATATCAGATATTTACATTACAATTCATAACAGTAGCAAAATTATAGTTATGAAGTAGCAAGGAAAATAATTTTATGGTTGGGGGTCACCACAACATGAGGAACTGTATTAAAGGGTGGTGGCATTAGGAAGGTTGAGAATCACTGCTTTACAACAATGTTACTTTTTTGAAACTAGAAATTATCATTGGAAAGCCATTATTACTGCTTTGAACTGTTTAAAGTTTTGTCATTCATACGAAATGGATGGTTTTTTCTGCTGTCGATGTACCAACAGCAAAGTCCAGCACAGAGTTGCTGCCCAGTAATCATTAATTCTCCCCTCCCATGACCAGAAGTGCTGGGAACTAATCTCCATCCCAAAGGAAAGTCATTTGTAGTTTGTGGCATATTATAAAATCATCGGGTTTAACTTTAGACCTTGCATCACAAATTCATCACTCATCCACCAACTTTTCCTATCTTGTGTTTGTTCTCAAGTTTTGTTTTTTTTTTTCCTTCTCCTGAGTTCTCACCCAATTCCAGGACATTAGTGCATTCTTTCATGTTTTTTTTTTTTTGGTAATAACCTGTTGTTTTTTTCTAGGCACCAATAGATTTTTTTTTCTTTAGGACTCAGTTCTGTTGTTACCAGTTTTCATGTTGTTTTTTAAATTGGACACTGTAAAGTTTAGAGTTTTAGGTTTTATATTTTAAACTGTGTTTATTTTACCTTCGGCCTCCCTTTGCCAATGAGTACATTTGTTCCTCCGTGTCTTCCTCCAGGTGAACATGACTGAGAAGCCACTGAGAAAGCCACCAGCCAGGCTGAAAAAACTCAAGATCAAAAAGGAAGTAACAGATTTCACAATGAAGGACATAGAGGAGAAGATGCAGGCGGTGGCCGAGCGCAGGAAGGTACCTGGGCTGGGGCGGGGTGGCGCTGCCTGCTGAGATGAGCCTTTCCTTTCAGCAGCGTTTAGACAAATTGTGTGGATTTGTATTATCTTCATTATCTGTATGCTTCTTACGCTGTATGCTTAATTTTTCATGTGTATGGTGAAGGAATAAGGCATTATCTTGAAAATGGTTGAATTAGTTTCATCAATATAGCCTAAGCAAGCAATATCCAATTCCCAGAACTAAGTGCGGACTTTTCTTCATATGAAAAAAGAAAAACTTAAGTTGGGGCTAGGGGTGAGGGGACGTGTGGGGATGGAGGATGGGAGGTGAGAGGAGGCCTAAGAGACCATCACAGACCTCCTGCAGCCCCTGCACAAGTGGTCCTCATATCCCTCCCACAGTCTTCATTGCCATCTCTCTCCTGGGCCTTTCCAACTAGACTAGGAGCTGCATGAGGGTAGGAAGTGTGTCTGTCTTCTTCAACAGGAATTCCTTAACGGGTAGGTTGTTAAATGACTAAATAATGCCATAAACGTTAACCACAGGCAATATTAATGAAAACATAGAGAACATTAGAACATTATTTGGACTCTTTTTCATTCTTCAATACTGCCTTTCAGACAAAAGAAGAAGAAATGAGAAAGAGACTACGGAGTGACCGACTTCTGCCCTCCGCCAATCGTTCAGACTCAGCTGACCCTGGTGGGGCTGAGGTTCCATTTGCCAAAGGACTTAACCCTGTGAGTTCTGCTGTGTTTGAGCCGTGGGACCTGCAGGGAGGAAAGCCGTTGAAAAGAAAGAAGAGCAAAAGTGATGTGACCTCAAATGATAGAGACTACAGTTATGAAGGTATTGGCATCGTGGAGTCAGACATGTCCTACAACCAAGAAGATCACATATTCTAATGAGCCATTTATGTGAATTCTGTGAAAAAGCACCCGTTTCCCCCAGTCATGCCAGGTTTTGTGTGTCTTATCTTTTTCTTTGACTGCCTGGCTGCATGGGCTAGTTAGCTGAGTAAATTAAATGGCTAATGGTTATGCTAGCTTCACAAAAAGGAAGATTCGACTACTTTCGATATTAAAAGTTGGCTTCAAACATTGTGAAGATGTCTTTATTAGTACCTCCAGCTTACAATAATGTGTTTGTGCCCAATGAAACCCTTCCTTTTTGCTCCTGCCCCTTGGCTGTGTCCACCCTCTGAGGGTCCTGTAAGACAAATTGCATGGATCTTGTCAACTGATGGCCATTGGCACCAATTCAATTCCAACAGGAATCCCAAATTTGGGGTGCAGTGAAGAAGGAAACTTTATTCAGTGCAAAAGGGCTCAACTGTGATACAGCACAGCTATGAGAATAGCAGGGCTCTGAGGCAGCCCTGGAGCCAGGCCCTCTCCAGCTAGACAGCTCTGCCCTGCTCCTTGCTGGTCTGCTCACTGCTGTGCTGGTCTGCTACACGGTGCTTTGGTTTGCTCTGGCTAATTCAGTTTCTACCCCGTCTTCAGTCTTTGGTGGAAAGAGAATGAGCACTTTCAGAGCCACAGAGGAGCTGGCTTATAAGGACTGAAGTCTCCACCCCTAGTCCCTGATTGGTCTGTCCTCATGCAAATGAGGACACCATATCCTTGCAGTTTGATTGATCCAAAAGGCACTGTCCTGCTTGGGCAGAATAGGGCCACTCTGGTTGGTCAGAGCTGCACAACTCCAATTTGTTGGGGAAAGCTTCAGTCCTATCCTATATAATAAAAGGCTAATATGCAAATTGACCAAATGGCGGAATGACCAGTTGCTATGACGCACATTGACCACCAGGGGGCAGATGCTCAACACAGAGCTGCCCCCTGGTGGCCAGTGCACTCCCACAGGGGGAGCGCCACTCAGCCAGAAGCCGGACTCACGGCTGGCGAGAGCCTCCAAGGTAAGGACAGTGTGGGGAGTGGGCCTAAGCCAGCAGGCAGACATCCCCTGAGGGATCCCGGACTGTGAGAGAGCACAGGCTGGGCTGAGGGACCCCTCCCCGCCCCCAGTGCATGAATGTTGTGCACTGGGCCTCTGTTGGTTGAAATAAGATCACAGGAACTTTTTTTTTTATAAGGGCTGGCACTGATAGCAGAAACACAGTGCAAGCAGGCAGTTCAGTGCAGAGGCAGGAAGTTCAGTGCAAACTTCTCCCTGAAGTGCAGTTTGTGTGAGAAGTCCTTGTATAGAAATGGCTGCTAGACTCTTTTTTAAAATTTGAGCCCATTAGCCACCAGAAGCCCTTCTTAATAGGTGTCTTCTTTCTCAGGGTTCACAATCTATATTATGTATTTTAATGATCTGTATACTTCATATACCTGGCCAGTGCCTTACTTCCCTGCAAGCACTCCAGGCTGAAGAACTTGGGGGCCCTCATCCTATTGTAATTATACCTTGATTCTTCCCTCTCTCTTATCACCCACATCCAATCAATTGTCATGTCTGTGGGTCTACATTCTAAGGCTCTCTTGCATCCATTTTCATAGTTTTCCCCCTGCCACTACCTAGTTAGACCACCCTATTATCATTCAGCTAGATTACTTCAACAGTTTCCTTGATCTTTATATAACAGTCCTCTGTTTATAACCCTTTTTGGCTCCTTTCATTGTCAAGATAAAGTCCAGACTTCTTTTTGTGACTGGGAATGATCTCAGCTTTCATAATTCAACCATACTAAACTGCCAATTCCTCAAATTCATCACGCTACCTCTAGCCTCTGGGTCTTTGCACATGTGGTTCCCTCTTTCCCCTCTTCCCAACTCACTATTTTAGTTGACCAATGCCTTCTTGTTGTTTATGTCTCCACTCAGACCACTCAGACCACTTCCTCCAACCCCACTGTCAGGGTCAGTGCCCCTCTCTCGTAGTTTCCTTTTAGCGCCCTGGACTGCTCATCTCTACACTTACCCCCCTGGTGGAATCGCCTGATACATTTTCATCCTCACCACTAGATATTTCAGGTCTATCAGGGCAGGAGGTGAGTCTGTCTTGTTTATGGCTGCATTTTGTGTGGCTCAGAAAGTGAATGACACATCATAAGTGCTATATAAATATTTCTTTGGTGGATGAATCAATATACCCATACATCTTCCAGAAGCAGGAGGACAGCCCCAGGAGATGGCTTGTTTTTCTGGGAACAAGTGGCTGGGCGAGCGGGGAGAGTGGAGATTTGATTTGAGGACCTCTTAGCACCTCCTGTTTATACATTCCCTTTGGGTTGTTGCAAACAGACACCTTGGGCTTCTATAGTTCGTAGGACTTAGGACTCCTGCAGCCAGTGAGGTATGATGGAGGTGGTGGAGGGGGCTTCTTTCAAAACTCATTTTAGAACCAAAGCCTTTACTTTTTTAAATTAAATTAATTGGGGTGACTGGTTAATAAACTCATATAGGTTTCAAGTGTGCATTTTTATGATACATGATCTATATATTGTATTGTGTGCCTCCCACCCAAAGTGAAATCATCTCCCATTACCATATATTTAAACCCCTGTACTCTTTACTACCTTCCACCCCCTTCCCTCTGGAAACCACCATACTATTGTGTGTGTCTATGAGTTTTTGTTTATTTTTCTTGTTTGTTCATTTGTTGCTTTCAGTTTTATATCCCACATATGAGCAGAATCATATGGTTCTTAGTGATTTCTGTCTGACTTATTTCTCAAGGTCCATACATGTTGTCTCAAAGGCAGTATTTCATCTTTTCTTATGGTTGAATGGTATCCCATTGCATATATCTACCACATCTTCTTTATCCAATCATCTATTGAAAGAAATTTCAGTTTATTTCCATGTTTTGGCCACCATGATAATACTGCAATGTATATAAGGGTGCATATGTCTTTGCAAATAAATATTTTCTAATTTTTCAGGTATATATCCTGAAGAGGGGTTGCTAGGACATATAGTAACTCTATTCTTAATTTTTTGAGGAACCTCCATACTGTTTTCCATAGTGGCTCTACCAGTTTTCATTCCCATCAGCAGCGAATGAGGGTTCCTTTTTCTCCACAATCTCTCCAACACTTTTTATTACTTGTCTTGTTGATAATAGCCATTCTGACAGGTGTTAGGTGGTATCTCATTATAGTTTTGATTTGCATTTCCCTAATGGCTAGTGAAGTTGAGCATCTTTTCATATATCTGTTTCCCATTTGTATGTCTTCTTGGGAGAAGTGTCTGTTCAAGTCGTCTGCGCATTTTATAACTGGGTTGTTTGTTTGTTTGGTGTTGATTTGTCTGAGTTCTTTATATATTTTGAATATTAACCCCTTGTCAGAACTATTGTTTGCAAATATCTTCTCCCATTAGTTTGGTTGCCTTTTTGTTTTGTTGGCAGTTTCCTTTGCTATGCAGACAAAGCTTTTTAGTTTGATATAGTCCCATTACAGCATGGTATTGGCAGAAAAACACACAGACCAATGGAACAGAACTGAGAGTCCAGAGTTACTTTTACAGTGTGAGCTGGAAAGTCCTGTGTCTCCATTACCTTATATGTTAATTTGGGATAGCCACCTTCATGGAGTTGTACCAAATCAAATAATGTGTTTAAAAGTACTGTGTAAACGAGACTATGTCATAATATTTATACAATATTATTTATATAAAATCTTATGTGAGCAACATGATGTTTTTCATCTGTCCTGAAGTTTTTCTATAAAGATTATCTTGTGATGATATGTGCCAATCTCATAAAATACTAAGTAGCTAAAATGATTATACTAGGACATAGGGAAAGATTTGGATATCATTTAGATCACTGTAAATAATAAAATTAAATGACCAAAATACATTAAATTCAAACTTATAATAATTGTTGTAAATGAAATTTCTAAAATTGATAAATATCCAAATACTTTTTCTTGAAGTCTTATGCTCTTGCCTGATTGTTTATGGTGGTTTGGATGACATGTTTGTTGAATTAAAATATAGATGTAAGCATTGTCCTCTGGCTTGATAACCTCTATACATGTATAGAATTAAACATACTAGGGAGTAACACTCTAAATGACAACTGTATTTTCTTAGCGAGATTGTCTACTTTAACAGGAGGGGAAGTGGGACAATGAAAATGTAGAACACTTGGATAGTGGGAACTTCTGTAAAGCTCTAAGTATAGTCCAAAACCAGCAGAGGGCTAGGGACAGAGAAACAGAGGCTCAGAGACTAAGCATCCCCACCTTCACAAAACACCAGCGTCAAAGAGAGATGAAGCTTGTCCTAGTCGGCTTGGCTCAGTGGACAGAGCATCAGCCTGCGGACTGAAGGGTCCCAGGTTAGATTCTGGCCAACGGCACATGCCTGGGTTGTGGGCTCGATCCCCAGATGGGGGTGAGGCAGCCGATCAATGATTCTTTCTCATCATTGATGTTTCTATCTCTCTCTCCTCCCTTCCTCTCTGAAATCAATAAATGAAATATATTTTTTAAAAAAGAAGCTTGTGTTTGAACCTGTTTTGCCTCCAACGAACTATCAACCACACTCAAAAAACAACAACAAAAAAAACTTCAAATGTAAATGTGACTGCCATTATCATCTTTCGTCTTTTTTTGAAGGGTGATTTCTATTGATTGCAATGGAAAAGAAAGATTGAGATTTTTTAAAAATCGTTATTGTTGAAAGTATTACATAGTTTCTCTTTTTTCCCCATTAACCTCTTCCAGCCCGCTCCCATCCCTTCACCCTTAGTCCCTCATTGCCCCATTGTCTGTGTCCACTGGTCATGCATAGGTACATACAAGTTAACATAGAGGCTCTAGGATCATCTTAATTTTTTGTTGAAATAACATATTGGTTTTCTCATTCTTAAATAAAAAATAAAGTTTTGAACAACCACCTGAGTATTTCAACTAAAATCAAACCACAGCTTTCAGGAAGTTGTGAATCAG